CAACCGATACTTTCATCTCCCCTGAGGAAGCTATGAGGTTCGGATTGAATGTTACCAAGGAAGAGGGGCAGATGAAGGCAGTGAACTCATCCGCCGTGGTGATATGTGGGACCGCTAAGAATGTGAAGATAAAACTAGGAGTATGGGAGGGGGAAGTCGACTTTACCATATCTTCGATGGATGATTTTGATGTTGTCTTAGGTATCGACTTTATTATGTCAGCACGAGTTATTCTGATGCCTTCTACAAGTTGCTTGATGTTGTTGGGAGAGAACCCGTGTGTAGTGCCGACAACTTTGCTGCCAAAGTTGGAAAGGAAGAATTTTACCACGAGATAAGTCCTCAACACAACGTCAAAAGGAAAAGGTTCGAGAAGCACTCGTCGATGAAGACATCGACTAATTGGGTGGGGTAGAATGTCGTGGTCGTCCCTTTCTTATGTGGCCACAACCGAATAGGTACGCCAAGGCCAACCATGTATAGGGCCTAATGGCAGGGTAGAATAAGCTTGTCCTCTTTTCAAGCATTTCAATGTTTTATGTAGGGAGTGGGGGTATGTCTTACTGTCCCCTGTTTGATCTTTTCAACGTCTACAGGTAGCATTTATGTTATTTTATTTTCGCATATATGTAGGGGGTGGACAGCCAGCAGAGTTTGGGCTGATCAACAGGTAAAGGTACGTGTCTCGTTAACATCATCGAGGGCCGCCCCTACGGCCTAATCGATGGTGTGGGTGAGTCTTCTGTAAGTCGATGTTTCTTTTATTAATAAAACATTTTTCTCTTGGAGAAGTCCGGGGGTTGAGGTGTACATCCGCTATGCCCCACGGGCTCGGATTATTGATCGAGGGACCATATGGCTACAAAGATCTAACGTGATGTTTGTTCTTGTTTGACCAGATATACGAGATAAAGGCTGACTTGACTTGGGGAGAGTCTCTTTTCAGGTGTTGCACGGATTGCAAACCTAGTTGAAAAGGCAAGTCCGTGACACTGTGCAAGGTTGGTCGATTGCCTAATTTTTGAGTTGAGTGATGAATATGGGCCCGACCCCATATTTGAGGGGCAACAGTGTTCGTGTTCCCTTTCTTATTTTTAGGTAGCTTTGATATTTTTTTTGTGTTGGGCAATGTATTGTTATGGTAGTGTGTAAGTGCTTTGGCAGTACCGATGGTGTAGTGATATTATCTTTATTGATACGTACATGGAGTACTATTCTTCCTCCGCTTAGTTTTAGAGAAGTTTTTCATTGAAATTCATATTGTATCTCGTTTTGTTTGTATGTCTTTAAATATAATAAGAAACATCCCTTTAAAAAAACATCCTAATCACATAGGACCAAAAATAATATCAGATTAACATCAAAATTTTGTTGATTCAATTATCCAATTTTACTCGAACTAAATCATCTGATTTTACTCAGAATTATAAATTATACAAAATATCTGTCAAAAAATTCTGCACCATTTCTCTTCCTAATTTAGTGCCACTTTTAGTGGCCATTCAATGACTTTTTCCATCGCATGTCAAAAATAAATAAATAAATAACATAAAAAATTCAACTTAAAACCAAAAAAGAAAAAAAGGTGATTAAATCTGTTCATAAGAAGAAGAAAAACCTAGACATACTCGAAAGGGGAGTATTGGAAATCTGTTCTCGTTGAATAGGTTTCTTTGTCTCCCCCTAGATTTCAAAGCCTTCTACGTTTCAAAACAAAATAAACAAACGCAACCATGGTCATGTACCCAACGGACCAACCACCGCTACAACAATGTTCAGCACCGTCGTATCAATACGGACAACCGGCTCCACCGCCGTTTGCCGGTCTCGTCACCACATCGAGCCAACAATACCCTATGCAAAATCATTACATGCACCATGCCGGGAAAGTCCTTTGGTCCACAGGAGTTTGTGATTGCTGCTATGATATTCAAAACTGTAAGTATTTTAATCTAATGTTTCTTTTTTAAGTCAAGGTATCTTTGATTGAATGAAAATTATTAGTTGACTAACAATCAACACTTATTGATGACATGAAAAGTCATATGTGTCCAAAGTGATGGTGTGACACATTAATTTCACATGTCCGAGCGATAACATGACACATGATATATCATCAGTTTAGATACATAAGACTTGTCATGTCGATAAGCATTAACCATTACTCAATTAATAATATCTATCAAAATGTTTTTTATTTAGGTATCATCACAATGTTTTGTCCTTGCATCACCTTTGGGCAGATTGCTGAGATTGTCGATCATGGATCAATCTGTAAGTTTTCTTTCTTATTCTTTTATCTTATATCTTGTCATAGGGATGAATCTGCGTGTTTAATCTTAATTCTGTTCCTATTTGTCACGATGTTCGATTTAATCGTACTGAAACACAGCATGCATATCAAATGGAATTCTTTACTCGATAATCCAATAGTTATCGGGGCTAGCGTGTCTGTACTCATCCTTCTACCGCACGAAAATGAGGCATCAATTCATGTTGGCCGAGACACCCTACCCAGACTGGTGCATTCATATCTTCTGCGAGCAATGCGAATTGTGTCAAGAATTCCGCGAGCTCCAAAACCGTGGCTTCGACATGTACATCGGTAAAAGCAACACTCGCGCTACACTTTTGTGTAGAGATGGACGTAAAATTTTATGTTAATGGTGATTTTATAAGCATGTATTGAAGTACGTAAGTTTATGTATGTATAGGATGGGATGCGAATATGGAGAAGTTCCAACGACAGGCAATGCAAATGGCAGCGCCGCCGGTGGTGAAAGATGGGATGAAAAGATAAAAGAAGAAGAAGAGAGTGGTGATCATTTTCTTAAGTGTTGAGTTTGATTCATGGCGACAAATATTTTCGCAATTTGTTGGTTACTATGAAATGTTCATTTTGTCTTGGGTTTTCATATTGTAATTATCTAGATTTTCAAGGCTCTATTTCTCTCCCCCTTTTTTGTTTCCCAATAACATAAATGTTTTGGAGGGTTATCGTTAATATATATATTGTGTATGGATATTTCATTATGTGATTATGTTATGCTCGTTTTTTAATAATTTATAGGGTAAACTACACATTTAGTACCTTAACAATAAGTTTTGATCCGTTTTAGTACCAAAACTTTCAATTTTTTCAAAGGATACCTAACGTTTAGTTTTCATTTCATTTTAATACCTATCGTTAAAAACTTAATGTGTTTAATACCTAAATTATAAGTTTTGATCCGTTTTAGTACCTAAACTTTCAATTTTTTCAAAACTTAGCGTTAAATTTTGGACGATGGTATTAAAATGAAATATAAACTAAAGTTTTTAACGGTATGGTACTAAAATGAAATAAAAACAAAATTTTAGGTATATTTTGAAAAAATTGAACATTTAGATACTAAAACAAACTAAAACTAATAGTTTATGTATTAAACTCATAATTTATCTTAATTTATAAAGGGGTAAGGTTCGAGGCGAAATTAATTTGAGAGCGTGAGGGGCTTTGTTCCCAATTTTTAAATTTAATTATTTTTTTATTTATAAAATCATGTCCTTAATTGTTTTTAAAAGAAGATTCGATGTATTAAATTGAGGCAAAATGCAAACTAATACCCCTAATGTTTGATACTATATGCATTTTTGCCCAAATGGTTTTTTTGGAGCAATTGTACCCACAACGTTTAAATATGAGGCATAAATCCCCCCGTTGGATGGAACCGTCAGTCAACTGACGGTCAACGGGTCCATCTGACTAAGCATTCACATGTGGTCACCGATGATGACGTGGAATTTACACGTCACTATTTTATGCTAATGTGAAATTTACACGTCAGATTTTTTAAAATAAAATTTAAATTAAAAGTTTGAACCAGTGACTATTTAAATTTCTCGACTATAAAATTTACAAAATGATAATCCATGTTGAGCCCATCGACTATTAAAAGTTACAAAATGAACAGTCAAATGATCATTTTGTAACTTTTAATAGTCGAGAGACTCAACTAAGCAAAACTCTATAGTCGAATAACCATTTTGTAACTTTTAATAATCGATGGCTTAATAAAATAATATCTTATAGTCGGAGAACCATTTGTGTACTTTACCTTATATTTAATTCGATTAACATCATTATCAATACATTATAAACATGTTTAAACCCAACTATTTATGAGCAAGAACGGCCTGGATATTATAATTATGGTAACCGATGAACAAGCCATTGTGCCGAGAAGTTCATGCCACCCTTAGCACACCGGTGACACTAGAAGTAGTAACCGAACAAAGATCGTTTTTTCCCTACTTCCAGCATATGGCTAGTCAGAGACACCATTCTCGTTCCTTCATCGGCGAACTGGTTAGTAGTTCAGGATTCAAATATTTCCTCCAACCGATGGGCGATCGAGCAAATATCATTCATATGTAAAGGGGTTAAGTTTACCCGAATAATGCAGGTATCAGGAAGGGATTTTCGTTCCTTCCTGAAAGCACCGAGTTCGACCAGGGTTAGAAGCTTCAAAAGTCATCATGATTCATGAATGGAGGATCATAAGGTACAAGAAGATACATCAATTAGCAAAGAAATCAGAACTCGGGCAAACAGAAAAGTCTCCATGAATGAGCTTCCCGATAAAGACTTAAAGCTAACTCGGTGAAAGCCGAATGGCACCATCTTCATTCAAGAGTGAACAACTATAGCAAGGGAATATCAGCTAGAAAAAAAGGGCTAAAGAAAGCCATTTCTTAGCTGCAAATGCATATTTCAAACATTTCTTAGGGCAACTAATGTAGTGAGCTATAGATTCGATTATGTCTATTCGATCATCAAGCCTTGCATAGTTAAATCCTAGAAGATAATCAACTTCTTCTAATTGATATTGCAGGGCCAGGGAGAAGGAAATTAGTAAAGCCTAAATCTCAACTTCAGAAGCAGTTCTCAGTGTTGAAGCAATATCAGTAAATTGACATAAACATTAACTTTTTTTAATCAAATCCGAAATTGAAAAACAGAGATGCAATGATAACATCATATAATTATCGTAAGATAAGTATTCCAAATCATCCAAACAAATCCGTAAGGAAATGCAAACAAAAGATTATTGAAAAAGAAAATAAGAAGCACGCCAAATACAACAGATCTAAAGTTCACATCACTTATCTCAATCGCGATTCTTAAGCTTCTCGAGTCGCTGGTTCAACTGCTCGATTTTAACAAGAAGACTAGTAACAGAGAAAAGGAGCCAATACAGAATAAGAATGGCGGCGATGAGAAGCGCGTTGCGTTGGCTCTTCATGATGGACTTCTGGTGACGGAGATATTCGGAAGGGGTGCATGACTCGGCGTCACAGCTAGGTCTCGTCTCGTATTTCCAGTATATATCCATGAGGAGGAAGAGGCAGAATGGAACCACTGACATGAACGGTTTCAGGAGGTTACGCGTGACGGCGGTCAAGCCCTTGCGGAGTCCGTCGATGCCTGGAACTGTGAGGAGGAGCAACATGATGGCTTCGGCACCGGCGGTGTAGCCTAGCACTACCCATTCTAGAGCCATTTTGCGTGAAAATTGCACAAAATTTGTTGAATCTGATTTAGGTTTTGATTTTTTGGAGCTTTGAATGTGCTTTTCTTAGCGAGGAAGAAGGGAGGAAGGTGGAGAACCGGTTTTTTTTTATTTGTTATTTTTTAAATGGAGCGAGGGACACGTGGGATTATGTTACAGGTGGCCGACTAACAAGTAATTCGGATTTTAGTTTGGGCTTAATTCCGTTAAGCATCCCCAATACATTGAATATATTTTAAATTGGTCCTTAATCTCAAAATATTTTAATTGAATCCCTCAATGATTCAATATTGTATTAATCAGGTTCATTGGTCAATCTCCTCATTGAATATAGGTAATAGATACAAGTAACAAGAAAACATAATGGGATAAGATCCTGTTACACAATGTAAAACTCTTTCAGTTTTACACAGATTTATGACCGTTGGATGAGTGAAAACAAATGGATAAAAATGAGTTTTTATTTAGCGGCGTTTTTTAACAAACTTCGGTAAATACTAGTACTTTAGTGGCGTTTTTATATAAACGTCGCTAAATACTGTACTTTAGTGGTGTTTTTATATAAATGTCGCTAAAGGTTTGTACTTGCCTTTAGTGGCGTCTTAAGCACAAAGGCTGCTAAATACTATAATTTAGTGATGTTTTTATACAAAGGCCGCTAAATACTCATACTTTAGTGGTTTTTTTTATACAAACGCCACTAAAGGCTCGTACTTTAGTGGCTTTTTAAGCACAAACAACGCTAAATACTAGTACTTTAGTGTTTTATATAAACGCCGCTAAATATTGAACTTTAGTGGCGTTTATATACAAACTCCGCTAAATACTCGTACTTTACTCTTTACTCTGCTTTTGCCTCCTAAATCCAACAATTCATATTTGATCCTCCTCCCTCAACGCAATCATCGCATTCGCCATAAAAAACTCCCCCCAAATCTCACATCTTATCATTTTCAAAACCTACCCCTTTCTCTTTAGTCTTTACTCTTACTGGCTTTACCTTTTGCCTCTCTCTCTCGATCGACAATGGCCGTCGTCGCTAGTTTTTCTCACAGTGAGGAAAATGTCTATATGGCAAAACTCGTCGAGTAAGCCAAATTCTACGAGGAAATGGTCGAGTTCATGGAGAAAGACTTTGCTTCCGCCGACAACGAGGAGCTCACCGTCGAGGAACAAAACCTCGTATTCGTCGCTTATAAGAACGTCATTGGCGCTCGCCGTACTTCCTGGTGCATCATCTCCTCCATCGAGCAGAAAGTGGAGAGATGTGGTAACGATGATCACGTCACTACGATCCGTGATTATCAGGCCGAGATCAAGTCCGAGCTTACTTCTATCTGTAACGGGATCTTGAAGCTCCTTGATACCAAGGTTATCCCCTCGGCTTCTTCCGGAGATTTCAATGTCTTTTATCTTAAGATGGAGGGAGACTATCATAGGTATTTGGCCGAGTTCAAGACTGGAGCAGAACGCAAGGAAGCTGCAGAGAGCACCCTCACAGCCTAAAAATCTGCTGAGGTTTTCAAAACAATGCCTCGTTTTCTTTAAAGATCTAATTGGATGGTTTTGTTTCTTTATTGTTTAACATTTTCTCTGTTCGTTAGGACATTGCCAACGCCAAGTTGGCTCCTACTCACCCGATTCAACTTGGGTTTTATAGCACCCTCAAGTGTCGAAGCTTTATAGTTTCTCGTATGAATTACTTTTTATATATATATATACTAGAATAGCTGCTTCAGTTGGTGCCAAGACATAATATAATTTATTTTTGTAGCTAATTTGTATTCCTTTTGGCTTCTATACTTATTTTTTATATTAATACTGAATGGGTTGTGTTCCTTCTATAAGCTTCACCTATACCATTGGGGGGAAGACAAGTCTACATTGAGGAGCGCAGTAGCAGCAGTATACGTGGAGGAAGTATATGCCTTAATACAAGCTTTTTTATCCACTCTAGAAATTTTTTTTTCTATATTTTCAGTAAAATTCTCTTTAATGTTGCTGCTTTTGGGTATCTTCAGAACATGCAGAAAAGCATTACCAGAGCCTGTTAGTCAACAACCACATCATACTTGGGCAGATGTGTCTGAATCTACAGCAGAGAAAGCTGTGAAGGAAAGCTTGGTTTATGAAGAATGTTAGTCTAGCTCTATCTACATTGGCATGTTTTGTTTATTTTAGGACTTATAGTGGTATAGTTTGAATTAGATGGTTTGTTTTGCATTCTTATCAATTTCGCTTATTTAGCTTTTGCATTGATTAATGGGAAATGAAATTTTAAAATGGGCCATCTGGGCATTTAATTTGACCCATTGAGCATCAGGGTTTCGTTTCTACAGCCGAAAAATAATGGTTTAGAGCCTGGATGTTTATATCATTTCATTTCTCAAATACCTTTTCTTACTTAGAGTTGATACAATATATCACTGGTTGAAATGCTTATTAATGCTTAAATAATACTTAGATTAATATTTGAAATATGATTATTGATCCTCATTCTTTTAGGTTTTACTGGTGAATAGAAATTTGTCTATGTGAGAAATTGCCTTCTACTGTTACTGCTACTGAACAGCAGGAGTTCAAGAATTTTGGCAGAATCAAGCCTGATGGTGTGTTTATCCGAAACCGCAAGGTAATTTATTTTTCTTCTCTTCTTGATTATCTTTCGTATATAGCTTAAAACAAACTAAATTTGTATTAGTTGCATGCAAGATGTTGTTGGTGTTTGTTATGCTTTTGTGGAGTTTGAAGACATTTTTGCTGTTCAAAATGCAATCAAGGTATGAATTTTCATTGTTGTTTGTGCTTTCACCCCGGCGAATATGTAGGACTGCAGCTAGTAGCTTAGTTACTTTCAGTATTTCATTTTAAAATTTTAAAAGATCAACGTTTTCTCATTTTTCCTTTCTAAGCTCCTGTTTGAATTATTTTCATTGTATGTTTGAACTACTTGTTCAGCTTGTGTTTGTCTGTAACATTGAGTTTTATGTAAAAGGAGCTTTGATCTATCTTTTAACATTGTACCATTTTGATTACATTCTAGTTTTTTTTTCATTTTTGTCTATTCTATTGGATCAAATTTAAGATGCATCCATGTACCTTTGTGATGGTTTTATTCTGTTTCTTATGATGAATGAGATGGAGGTGGCTAGCACAACCATGAAAGAGCTTCTTGAGTAAATACATGAAAAAAAAGAAGTGGATTACGAGAAAGGAGGGTAAATGATATAAACCTTCCTTTTTTTTCCTTTAAACCAGAATTGATTTATAGTACCCTCAAGTGTCGAAGCTTTATAGTTTCTCGTATGAATTACTTTTTATATACATATATATTAGAATAAATGCTTCAGTTGGTGCCATGACATAATATGATTTATTTTTGTAGCTAATTTGTATTTATTTTGGCTTCTGTACTTATTTTTTATAATAATACTAAACGGGTTGTGTTCCTTCTATAGGTTTCTCCTATACCATTGGGGGGAAGACACGTCTACATTGAGGAGCGCAAACCAAATAGCAACAGTATACGTGGAGGAAGTATGTGCCACAAGCTTTTTTATGTGCTCTAGAATTTTGTTCTATATTTTCAGTAAAATGCTCTTTAATGTTGTTGTTTTTGGGTATCTTCAGAACATGCAGAAAAGCATTCTTGTTGTCCAAAAAGACTCTTCGCAAAACTTTTTGGTCACTAGAGCCTTGTGCATGTTCACTAAAGTTTTGTATTTCTATGATAATCCTCTTGGTGGATAAGGTTGGGTGATAAACAAACTTCCATTATAAACTCGTAACTATGGTAATCATTAATTTTGTCAACTCCATATAGCAAATTTACCATCTTGAACATTAAGAATGTGATTCTATAGCGTCTGTAACATATTAGGATTGCATTACTACATTCTTCTTCCTTATGCCAAGGAACCAAAAAGAAGGGGGGAAACTATTCTTCCTGCTTGTCTTAAACATGCATTTGTTGTAATTGATTTGCATGGATGGGTTACAAATGGTAATCAACTTTATCATTATCGAAGTGAATTTGCTTTATTGGCATGATTCTGTCATTCAAAATGACCAGGAAGGGGAAGAGGTAGAGGCGGTTATAAACCTGAGGCCTCGAGAGGTCGCTTTAGTTCTTGTAACTTGGGTAGAGGAAACAATCAAGAATCCGACGACTACAGATCAAGAAGCAATTGTTTCTATGAGCGAGGTTCTAGATGAATTTGTATATAAATATGTATATATATCTAGAAATTTTTGAATATGTATGTGTTTGGAGATTGTAACAAACCATCAGAAGCAATTCCATTATGTCAGAAGGCCATCTCCGTTTATAAGGGTCAGCTGCATCGACTTGGAGATAAAGTAAAGAATAACGTCTCATTCTGGTTTTTGGTTGACAATATTGTTCATTGCAGCTAAAAAAAGCTTGTGATTAAGGTAATAGTTCGAAAAAGCTTCTCTTTTTTTGAGATAGTCAAAAAACAACAGGAGGCGGCGGCACCAGCCCTCAAGGCTGGTTGCTGGCCGTCGATCCTTCTTGTTCTTTTTCTCCTCTCTTCTTTTTTTTTTGTTAGTTTTCCTTTCATTAGCTGTCTGTAAGCTGCTAGGATGGTGGTGGAGGCAGGCACCGGCCTTGCGAAAGAGGTTATGTCCGTTTTCGTAAGAGGTTGACTGTTCAGTGGTATATCTCTTGACTATGTGTAGTGGTTCTCGTTCTCAAGTCTGCTCTTTTTGAAGAAGCGTTTCGTTGTTTGTCGCCGTTGTTTCCTCTTTTTCGCCTCTTAGCTTGATTTGGGTGAGTGGTTTTGCTTGAAAGGTTTGAACCGTAACTTTAAACCCAAAATTATTTTGGGGGTTTTGGGAATCGGGTTCAGAGAAGCAAGGTTTGAAATTTATTGTCTATTGATGGTTGCCGCAGTCATTGCCTTTCCTTCGTTTTAATGGTTTTTCTTTCTGCTGAAGCTTATATTGAATCAAAATAGAGTAAAAACTCTAATTGATCGAAAAGAAGAAAAAACTCTTTAGAATAATCTCACAAAATTGTATTCTTCACATATCTCAGTATTCGTCGAACTGCTTCCAAATGAGGCTTCTTTGGATTTTGCAT